TACTAATCAGTATAGGTTTCACAAGGGGTAAAACGGAATTCCGTTCGTTAATAATAAATAATAGTAAATTAGTTCTAATCGATAGTTTATAATAGTTGAAAGTAGTGTTGTTGACTAGAAGGTAGGGATATTCCCCCTTGGCCTGTCACGTGGGTCTGGGAGGCTTGGGCCTCTCAGCCTGGCGGGCGTGTGGCTGGAAGTGCCACACGACTCCGTATTCCAACTATCGCAACAGGTAGGCTAATACATAAGCGCTGATATTAATTAAGAAAATGATTAACGGAATGGTGCCTAAAATAGTAGGCTGAAAGTTGTTAGTGCAGGCTATAGAAAGATGAGGTTTGACTATGATAATGCAGTTTTGGGTAGTTTGCTATCTTCTACAACATGAAGAAGGCACAATACGTAAAGTCGAAAACAAGAATATAACACGAGGGTATAGACTAAGATACATATAATCATCACAAAATACACCTTAGACCTATGATTACTATAATAGAAAGTTAATTGTCAAAAGTGTGTTTAGTTTCAGATTTCTATCTACTAGTGTTTATAAATTTTTTTTAAAAAAAAAAAAAAAAAGAGCTGACGAATCCATTACGCCGACATCATTTCAAATAGTTTAGCACTATTCCTTACAGCACTAGATCTTTGACTTAGCTTTTAACTTAGCTAAGGGCGGGGTAAAGCTAACTAGAGCCCCTATTTGAACTTGTGTTTTTACAGATATTTTGGGGAAAAGTTATTTATTAACAGTAGGTAAAGCAGAAAAACCCTCAAACCATGAATGAAGCAGGCAACAATAGAAAGTAACATATTACGAGCAGGTTAGAGCAACCAACTGTGGCACAAAGCAAAAGCTTCGGTCGGGTATGATGACTCTGGCATCATTATCCCCTGTTCTGCATTATACAGCTACGCCGGCCAGTTCCCAACTGGTTGGGTCGTAACATAACAGGCGAGGCGGCTGGTGAAGCCCTTCTATCTTAATAAGATTTTTACTACTAAGATTGCTTTTTTTAGTACAAAAGTAGCTTTTATTACAGTGTGCATAGCCTCGCAGTTCCTTAGCAAGCATATGTAATTAGCGTTTTTAATTTGCGTACTACCGACTTGTAAACGAGACCAATAAAACTATCAACAGAGTTTTTAGACATTAGCTCATCAAGAGTGGCATCCTACTTGTCAGTGAACTACTAAATTGCTTGCCTCGGTATTTCAATGGCTAAGAGTTAAACTTTCAGCAGGTGGGGCGGCGCTCAGTGCTACATAGATTCATGTCACGCAGTCAATTTGCCCACCACTTATGGGGTAAAAAAAGATGCTTCCATTCATTAGAGACTGTCTAGGGGTTATTGGGTTGATTATATAACCGTCTATTCGGTAATTACCGATTTGAAGGTTTTCATGCACAAAATGACATCCCCGTTAGTTTTATATGGGAAACAATAGCCGGGTGCATGGGTTGATGTTAGATTGACGCCTGCGTCCGGATAAAATGCTAGGAAATCTAGCTTAGTTGCATTCTTGCAATATGCTGAAACCGGGAAGAACGGGTAGATACAAAACAGAACCCCGCTTCAACCGGAATGGGTAGAATCACTCAATCAACAACATGAATCACTCTTTGCTCAATGAACCCCAGGTGTATTGCATCAAACTAATATCGTTTATCTAACAGTTGAATGCATGCCCCGATATATGCAGTGGTCCGTGTGACAATTCACGTGCCAGATATCAAGATATATTATAGGTTTCATGTAGGACCTAAAATACGGTTTTTATACAGCCTTTAATCCCATGGCTTATTGTGAGGGGCAAATTGATGGGCCGCGGTTCTGCCCATTCAAGATGAAGCTTTCGATGATGCTTGGCATGCAGCATTGACTCAAGCTTGAGCAACACGTGATGATTGACTATGAAGGCGAGATACGACGACCATTACCTTCGGCAACTTCCGCAAAAACAGGAATCTAATGATTTTAATTAGTTAAATCGTTCGCTTAGTGACTCACAACTTTGTGCTAGATGAGACGTCCTCGAAAGGTTACGCCCTAGAATGGAACACTCCGCAACGTGACGCCTAGAGGGGCTCTAGTATTGCCGCCAGCTCGCATGATGACTGTGACACTCGATTACTATGACTGGCAATATACAAATCATGAGGAGGTACCGACTCGAGGGATTCGCCTTCCCATATACTGCTCAATTCGCACTTGATAATGGAACTTGCCTGTAAAGGCAGTCTGTATAAAATTTGGTAACTCAATAGCAAGTTTACTACAACTTAACGTCAAGATCATTAGAAAGAAACGAGAAGTAAAGAATCATTGATTTTTTGTTTAGTCAAAGTCGGTTGAACCCATTTAACCTTATTTTGAGCCAATCTCTTCGACCATCTTCATCGCACAGTGTTCTTCCGAAAAGTGACACAATGTCATCGCCCATGTCATGAAGGAAACTACCCATATATATCCAATGCAATTTCCGACAATGCCCCGCATTTTTCTGTAAACTCGCCGCGGCAAGGTTCCCTCAAGTTTTGACATTGCTCGTCCTTCTATCCATACCCAGAGCCTGGTTACCACAGCTTCAACAACCATACCAACCGGCTGTAAGGCGTAATACCGTGTGATGCCTAGAAGCCCACAACGCAAGCTCCTCTGTGGGTCCATGACCAGTGTCACGGCAGAGTGCATCAGTCCCGATATTAAAAAAACCAGCCAGTTGTGGATATAGCGCCGAACGTCTCCGCCGCGGCCGATGATTTTGGATGCCCAGCTAACCAGGGGCCGGTACACGACAAGGTGGTGCCACCGAGCCCAGTACCGCCGCACCGTATATGCCTCCGCCACGTTGCCGTACAAGTTCCATTGGATGGGCTCGTCTAGACGGAAAGCAACGGCCAATATGACGAGGATATCGTAGCCAATTGAAAAGATGAGATAGTCAATGAGGCTGCCAATAATGAACCAGTGAAAACGCAACACGGCTGCTCGCTTCAGGTCTAAGTCGCCTCCACCTTGCAACAGCCGGCGGAAGAAAGCTCTTTTTGAAGGCGCAAAATCCGCAGCTACGGGATAAGGCGCACCCGGGCCGGGTAGGCGAAGGTAGATGGCGGGGTCGAGAAGGATACACAAGGCAACATAACGGATTGCTAGTTTTATGAAGCGACGGCAGATGTACGCAACTCGGGACACAGTAGTTGTCGTCTCATTTGGCCGGTCAGAACGCCGACGTACCTCCCATCTCGTGCCTTTGTACTGGCTGCATGCAGAGAGATGATACGCAAAGTGCCAACTGCGCTGTCCCGGTTGATGTTTTCCTCCTTTATCTAGTGAGCCGATGTGAGAATGACAAGTTCAATGATTTTTGCTAGGCTGCTAGGCAAGTAACTCACTCTCAACGAACTTGCGTCTTTCCGCCTCTAAGTCATCCTGACGGGTGAGCAGATGCAGAAATGTTTGTCCGGAAAGATAGATAATCTGAAAACGCGCCCATAGCGTGTTCAAACCAGTGAATGGTGAAAGCTTGGATGACTGACAGAATCCTAATAGCACTAAAACAACAATAGCTGTCGAAAATAGCCTAGGATGTGTGTTTTTCTTCGACAAAGAAAGCAAGGCAATAAAAGCACCAGCTGCAAAACTACCGAATGTTTGGAAAGATGACGATGCAAGAAAAGGCAGGAAAGACAATGTTTCGGTCATTCTCGTGGAGTCGGTTGTGGTGCAAACCAGTGATAAAAATTATTGCTGTAAGTTTCACAGAGTGAAAGTCCTATACGAACAAATACCAAACAAACAGTAAACACAGGTGATTCTCATAATGTGTGTAATAATACAGTAAAAGTGTTGGTTCGAAGTGAACGGGAGAGATATTGTCTCCCGAACCGTCACGTGTGTAAGGAGGTGGCCGGTCCCCACATATCAGACCGGCCGGATAGACGGCCGGACGGCCGTGCGGCCACACAAGGCCGTTTTCTGACTAAGGTATCGCAACATTTGCGTTGTAACAGATGCAATTGAATTCTCCGTTATAGTCTGGTGCAATTGTTCATTCTGTTGCATGAGAAGCTATAGAAATAATTGACTAGTACAGGAAGCCAAATTGAAGCGGTTCATTTTTGAGAAAAGTAAAAACGGCAGGTCTATTTCAAACTCAAAATGTGATTGCGCGGGTCATGCGCATTTCCCAAAAGTGCAACTTTAGGCAACTGTGGGCAATCGATATCGACTCGTTCTACTCCTCAACAGTGAAACCTAAGCCCCCCTAAGTATCATAAACTCTCCGCCTAGTGGTTTGCGACACTTGGCACAGATCTCAAGGCGAAAAATAGTCACCGAGGCTGTCAATCAGACTTCAGTGGTTCTGAAGCCAATCTTAGAAAACTCAACATGTGGTATGTCTCAATTGTGGCTTAGCTGCGAACCAGCATGCGTCCTTCGACAATGCGCTTCGAAACCGCCCGCCCCAGTTGCCAATATTGTGCAAGTGATTTGCAGTCCTAGGTATTTTTAATGCGAATTACCAGCATAGACTTGATGTGGCCGCAGGCGTTACAGCAGGACGTGGTCACACGGACGAGATGTCTCTGAGTTGGTAAGCCTTCAACAGGAGCCTATAACTGAGAGAAAAATGGGTCTCAGGATAACAAGTGATGACAAAAGTGGGACCACAACTGCGTTTGCACCAATTGCGCTTTACCTGTCGTGACGAATTTGTTGTCACGACTTGTCCTGGTATCGCTGACTTGGCTATAGTGTTTTCTTCGGCTTGGCGTTATAGACCAAACCTTCGAGAATTTCTCCGTATGTTCATGTGTCTTTGTATGTTATACACATACATCGATTGTAGATAAAAGCCAGCGATATTTCCCGTCTTCAAGTCCAATTCTCTTCATCACTCTCGTCAACACTCTCATCTTCATTCAATACACGCTCATCCAAACCAACAATTCTTTTTTGAATTACCAACCCATTGAATAACCACATTTGACCATGCAGTTCCAGGCTCTTATCACTGTTCTTTTCGCCTCTGCCGCTCTTGCCAGCAGCGGCCCCCCGGCCCGCTCTGGTCCCGGAAACTCGAGAGGAAGACGCGACCTCACCCCCGGTGGCTCCCTCCTCCCTCGTGCCTGGCTTTCTAGCCTCGGTCTTTCAGCCGCTGAAGCCGATGTCACCAAGCGCGATATCGCTCCCGAGACTGACTTCGAGGTCGTCAAGCGCGAGGCCGATCCCGAGGCCGATCCCGAGGCTATCGAGATTAACGAGTCTTGAGGCCGTCAAAGTCCAAGGGAATCTTGACTTAGTGCTGGGTAAGCATCCCTTTAGGAAGAATCAGCGCAGTAGGATAGTAACTGAAGATTTGCAGACACAACCTGAGGATTCGTTACATTTGGCTTTATGGTGGATCGGTGGCAAGCGAAGTAAATGAGTATAGGCAGCGGTTACGTAGCGCCGAACATAGAAAATAAACCACATACTCAAGAAAAGAAAAAACAAAATCTCCTACAGGTGTGAGGTCTTTGGCCTCATTAGCCTGCTTGGAGGTGTTTAGCCGCCAAGCTCAACCCTCCCTCAAGTTTAAGAGGCCTAGTAGAAGTGTTATTTTGCCCGATTGGGTTATCTATCTCACAACAAGCAGAAATTCAATAGAAATGACATGTCATTGTTCTATGACGTCATAGCAGAGACTGAATTGTAATGTCGACTTAAAAGCAATCAATCTACCTCAGTATCAGTGGCTGACGCCGTCACCTTTCTGACTCGTGGAGAACAGCATCAAATGTGGGTCGAGCTTGATGCATTTGATACTGACTTAATCTTAAAACAAAATCGATGATCACCTAGCATTTAAAACCATGAACGACAAGGTCGGATCACATACGAACTGGGCGAACTAGAGACATAAAGGGTTGCATCGCAGTGTAAGTAGTTAGTCAGCGTAAAATGAACTCGTCCAATTAGGGTGTCCCTATTTCATATTTTATTGTGCAACCCGACGCACTGCAAGACGCTGAATCAGCAGCGGTTATCAGAGAACAGCGTAGCTCGACGCATGCCGATAAAGGTCATAATATGAATGTACATATATATATCATGTGAATCCAATTCTTAATTCAGACGGAAAACGTTTGTGAACTCAAATTACCAACAGCTGTCAACATGTCCTACTTTACGGCTCTGTTGGGGGTTGTGATTCCCCTGCTCGGTTACATCTTCTTGCGCCCTCTCCTCTATCCTTCGAAGTCAAGGCTCAATTTCCCACCAGGCCCCCCCACCATCCCCTTTCTTGGCAACCTCCATCAAATCCCCCTGACCAAACCATTCCTACAGTTTGCGGAATGGAGCCGCAGCTACGGATCTCATGGGCTGGTAGGCTTGCATCTCGGCCCTAGCAACAGAGCCGTCGTGCTCAACTCCTGGAGATCCGTCCGCGACCTGCTGGATCAGCGCGGTGTCACATATTCGTCCCGGCCCTATGTGCCCATCGTAGAGTACGTGGTGCCGCCGCCGGGCGACATTCATCTGGTCTTCATGCCCTACGGCCCGAAATGGCGAAAGGCACGACGGACAATCACGGATTTCCTGAGAGATGAGGAAGTGGACAAGTTGGTATCATTACAAGACGCAGAGTCCTCACAGATGATGTTTGAGTTGTTATCCAAGCCTGGGAAATACCACGATCACATATTGAGGTACTTTGGCGCCATCATCATGTCGAGCGTCTTCGGCACCCGAGGCAAGGATTTCAGCGATACGGGCAAGATTAAGCAATTTTTTGCCTGTCAGGCCGAGTGGGCGGGTATGTTGGACCAAGGAGCCGTCCCTCCTTATGATGTGTTCCCATTCCTGCGCTATGTGCCCGACGTCGCGACGCCTTGGAGAGGGTGGAAACAGCGCGCTGCAGCACTGAAGAAGAAGCAAAACGGGCTGTATCACGATCTTTTCGAGGACGCAAGGGAGCGCCTTCAACAAGGCAAGGGCGAAGATAGCTTTGTGGCTGGTCTCTTGCGTAACAACGAGCGAGAAGGGTACAGCGATGTCGAACTGGAGTACATTGCTGGCTTTCTCATGGAGGGAGGCTCCGATACCACTGCTGGCGCTTTTGAAACGTTTGTTCTGGCCATGGCTGCTCATCCCGAGATCCAGAAAAAGGCTCAGGCCGAGGTCGATGCGGTGTTTGGCAAGAATGGTGTTCAATCTGAACAAATCAAGGCGGAAAATTTGCCCTATCTGAAAGCTTGCTTTCTTGAGGTAAGAGTTGCTCTCATTACACTCTTCCACGTGTTTTTGGCATACTAACTTTTTCCAAAGACTCTGAGATGGCGTCCTGGTTTTCCGTTGGCCATTCCACATGCGACTACCCAGGATGACGTGTACCAGGGCTATAACATACCGGCAAACACAACTATTTTGATGAACATCTGGGCCATTAGCCATGATCCGGACGAATACGAAGATCCAGACTCTTTTCAACCCGAGCGCTTCCTTGAGAATCCCTGGGGTATCAGGAGAAACGACGAGAAACTCCAAGATGCAGCCGCCGACCAATCGCGGAGAACAACCTATGGTTTTGGAGCAGGAAGAAGAGTCTGTGCGGGTCAGCGCATGGCTGAGAACAGCATGCTGATGACCATGTCGAAAATTCTCTGGTATTTCAACATCGTATCAGGGGAGCGAGCTCCGAATACGTCGGTGCAGACGGGATTCAGGGATGCGATTCTTACCGGACCCAACGCTTTTGATGTCAACTTTGAAGTGCGCGGCAAGGACAGGGAGGAAGTTCTCATCAGGGAGTGGACCAAGGCTGACGCATGGCTTCAGAGATTCGAGTAATGTTTGGGCGATAATCAAATAATCCAGCTAGGTTTTAACGATTCATGCAGAAGTCTATGAAACACGAAGAGTAGATATAACCAAAGACAAAATAGTGAATATAATACTGATTGGATGTCCAACTATTAGTTAACTCTATTTCCCACAAAGGGCCACGCAAGTGCTATGGACGGGTGGGATACAAAACTAGTAACAGCAATAGAGTACGTGGCAGGGTATCTAAAGGGGCGGAGGCTTAGGGAGGTAGACTTTTACTCAGGATGTCGCCATAGATGTCAATGAGAACTTCCATTTGATTTGCGCATTTACTTCTTGATAACTAGATTTTTGGCAAGAGTCACGGGCAGAACTCGAGGTGCTTTCACACAACCATCATGAGACCTATTCATGAGATAGTGGCCAGTAAACGCTAAGTTCTGCTTGATGTTGACAATAAAGCCTCTGCCTACAACGTTTGTAGCCATGCAATATATTATAGTAGTCAAGTTCTCCGCAATAGTCCTGTGCAAATTACTAAGCAATTTTCCTGCATCTTTTCTTAGCAATAATGGTGTATCGGCGTTGCAAATAGAATAAATTGAAATTCTCATCGATATGAGTTTGTGTAAACTTTATAAGTAGATGCGCATGGCTTCAATGAATACGTCTAGTGCCATTTCCAACACCATATCTATACGGTGGCTGGTTGGCGACATTTCGTATCACTAATTGTCTATTTGTCGTTACTTTAAGCATCTAGGCGGATCATAGCAAGACTAAACTTAAGCGTTTGCTCAAGAAAAACAACTATCAACCTGTTAATTGAATAGTAATCGAAAAATAGCGAGTGAATGACATAACCGGCGGGTAGACATCCGTCTAGGCGGCTACGTCCCGCTCAACCCGCTCTATTCCCGCTGAATCAAACCGGTCATGGGGACCTGTCGGCATGTGGTTGGTGCGCCGTGCGGTACCGGACCGGCAGACCGGGTAACCCTAAATCCTTTGCGTAACATTTTCAAACGCCGGTGACTACCAAGTCTGGGCTCGCGTTCGCGAGATGACTAAAAGGGTAGTTTCAGTTCTCAATTCGCCGGGGCTGGTTTAGCCATGTTTTTTTTTTATTTCCCTAATTTCTCTTCCCTTTGAGCCATTGCCACTAAAATAACCTCGGTTATCGCTTGGGATTTTACACCAGGCTATATTACCAATCCGAAAGGCGCGAAAGGCGCGAAAGACAACGGGTATCCATACTGTTCCTGTGGGTTCTTAAATAATAGGTCGTCGCCGATTTTCCAGTGTCAGCTACCGGAGCCGATTCTATGACGCAACAGCAATTGGCCATCGGCAACACTTGAGCACGCAATCCCGGAGATGGACGGTGCAGATAAGGAGACGAGGTCGGACACCTCGCAGAATGATACCATACTTGAACAGCAGGCCTCTCGTCCGGAAAGCCGCGTCGGTCGCGTGCTAAGCCGGATCGCATCGGTGCCAACTACACATCCCGGGCCCCCACCCGATGGAGGTTACTCGGCCTGGATGGCTGGTAAGCGAAACTGTAGATGGATTCAATATACCAGGTTATTTGAACTGACTTTTATCATGTTATAGCCCTTAGCGCTCATTTCATTTTCATGGACACATGGTAACTTGCTCCAAAGACAACTGCAACACGGAATCATAAAGATTAGCTAATAGTTATTTTGTAGGGGGTTCATCAACTCCTTCGGAGTCTTCCAAACATATTATGTCGAATTACTCAAGAGGCCGCCTTCAGACATTTCTTGGATTGGTTCCTTCCAAGTCTTCCTCCTCTTTTTCATCGGTGCCTTTTCGGGTAGATTCACCGATGCAGGGTATTTCCGGCCTCTTTTCCTTTGCGGGTCTTTCTTGATTCTCTTGGGCACTTTTGCGACATCATGGTGTACGCAGTACTGGCAGATTTTCCTAGCCCATGGAATCTGCGTTGGACTCGGAAACGGCCTCACGTTTTGCCCGTCATTGGCGGTACTGTCTACCTATTTTGATAAGAGAAGAGCATTGGCCATCGGAATTGCTGCTGTGGGCAGCGCCTCAGGTGGTTTGGTATTTCCGAGTACCGTCCGGCAAATGCTTCCTCAAGCCGGCTTCCCCTGGGCTATGCGCACACTCGGCTTTATTCAGCTGGTGACTCTCACTATCGGGTTCATCTTCTTGAAACCTCGGCTACCGCCACGCAGAAAAGCCCAGCTAGTGGAGCTGTCCGCCTTCAAGGAAGCAGAATATTCGTTCTATGCTGCTGGAGGCTTCTTCGTAAGTCAAGCCGCGCTGTTCACGTCTTCATTCCATACAGTCCATTAATACTTGATGTTTTAGTCCTTCATGGGTGTTTACTTCGCCTTCTACTATATTGCCTCGTACAGTCGAGACGAGCTTTCCTTCTCATACACCAACTCACTAAACCTGCTTCTGATTCTGAACGGTATCGGGTTCATTGGGCGTCTGGTACCTAACTGGTTTGCCGACAAAGTGGGAACCATTACCGTTTTCACCCCTATGGCCTTTCTCTCAGGCATTTTGACGTATTGCTGGATCGCTGTCAAGTCCCCAACCGGCCTCTACGTGTGGAGCGTTGTTTTTGGTATCGTGGGAAACGCCGTACAGGCTCTTTTCCCCGCAGGCGTCAGCGCTTTAACGACGGACCCGAGCAAGCAGGGAACACGCATAGGCATGATTTTCACCATCGTCAGCTTTGCTGTTCTAAGCGGACCACCAATTGCGGGCGCCATCATTACCGCCAGCGGCGGTCGATATTATGGCGCTCAAGCTTTTGCTGGTAGCTGCCTCATGATCGGAACTATGTTTCTGGCATTAGCACGGATAGTCAAAACTAAGAAGAAAGGAGAGGGGTGGTTCACAAAGATTTAAAGTCTGCATAGCTGGTTAAATAAAATGAAACCTAACTAATTATGACCAAATGCATACCGTCTCTTAATACCAAATAGCGATCACGAGATTGCCTTTCTTCCCCTTTTCTTTTCACTTGTTCCTTGGCGGAGGTGAGCGCTGTAAGGTTCAGCCGCCCTGGCGCATCGAACAGGTTAGAGTACGAAAAAGTATCATATATAGGCAATATTCACAAGGTGATCACCGGCTATGTGCCGCAATGGAATTGTTCCCTCGACACAAGTAAACTCTATTAAAAGGTTCGGTAGGTACCCGTAGGGCGTAGGTACGTTTAATTTGGGACGAAATGGGAGCATCGGGCCTCCAAGTTAAGCCGTCTCCGTCTGTGCGAGAAATGTATATATTTGATCTTGGTTCTAGACCCTGCATTTCCAAGGGACGTGCCGAAAATCGCATGGCTACTGGGTACCTCTTCCTCTCACCCTATGTTCTCCGTCGCAAGCCAGCTTCGCGAAGAATGGCCTTCCCTGTACGATAATACGTCGAGTTGCAGTGTTAAGCAATAAGCCCTTGTCCGCGGATTTTGGAGGCTATGGCTATATTATTTAGAGTGAGCCAAGCGAGTGCCGAAAGCCAAGCTCTGCGCCGAGTCTGACTCGCGGAAACTCCGCCTGGACAACTACCTAACGAAATGGGTTCTAATTTTTTTTTTGTTTTTCTTCACTTCAGCAGTCTGAACCATTAACACCAAAGGGTTAGCTAAGGAACTTGGTTCATGTGCATTAAGCATCATAAACCGGATAAGCACGGAAAACCAAAACCTAACCTGTGTGTGTGTCATCGCTGACCTATGGTCCTGGTGGTCGTTTTTAAATAAACACGTACGATGCCCATGTGGGAATACCATATTTAACTTCGATTGAGATAGGCAGAATAGATTATCAGGTAGATTAATAGGCCCTTAGCTAATCCACCAGATTAGCGCAACCGGCCTTCTTGGCATTCAAGGTACTCTAAGCAGCCCAATAGGGATATGAAACGAAGTTCGGACTAACATCTGTGGACAGGGCTCCAGTCAATAACATTTTACCTAGCGGTCCTCATTCAGTCCAGGTTATATACATGCAACCGTTAAGTTTTCTTTCGGATGGATATTGATTGCGAACGGGGCAATGTGACCTTCACGAGAGCCTCATGAGCTTGATGAAAGGCTGTAACCGAGCAAATGCATATATTCATTCTTGGAACAGTTTTGCCGGGGACCCCTGAAAAGATGCAAAGGGCCGCTGTTCTATACGCACGTTCTAAGTGAACAAATAACATAAATCTGTAATGTTCGTCACAGCCCCCAATAGATCTTATCTCGTCAGGTTTGAATTCTGCTCTCCCAAACGGTTCACCCGAAAAGCGCCCTGGCATCATGTCAGTCCTCAAGCACTGCCTATTGCTTCTTGCGACGGCAAACACAGCTTTATCTTTTACTGCTAGAGCTTCGTACAACTTCTCACAGGCTGCTATTGAGAATGGCGATGCCCTTGCCAAGCTTAACGCCGATGCGAACCAAGCGGCTAGGGCTTTGAATTTGGAATTGACACGGCAGGGTATTAATACTTCGTGTTCAGCCGATAATATTCAAGTCCGAAAGGAATGGTACGATATAGTCGATGGCGCTGGTACTTCCTAAAGTTCTGACGTTTGTATTACAGGAGAAACATTCCGGCCGAAGAGCGCAAGGCTTTTGTTGCCGCAGTTCAGTGTCTTCAAGCTTCTCCTTCTTTGAATGACCCTGTCAAGCTTCCTTCTGCAAAATCTCTTTATGATGACTTTGTTATAACGCACTTTAACCAGACTGCTAATATTCATTGGACGGTACGTAGCAATACACAACCTCTTGGCAACTCAAACAGATTCAAGAATGTACTAACACAACTTCAGGGCACTTTCCTTTTATGGCATCGGTATTTTACTTGGACCTACGAGCAGAAGCTTCGCACGGTCTGTGGTTACCAAGGTAAGTTATTGCATGACGATATGTGCGTTGAGAAATGGCCATGCCTGACCGAACATGAAAGGAACCTTCCCCTATTGGGAATGGGGTTATGATGTCGAAGACCCGGCAGCATCCCCTCTATTTGATGGATCGGAGACCTCAATGGGCAGTGATGGTGCCTTCTTCCTTCACGAGGGATACAAACTTGTGCAGAGACTCTCCAAAACCCTCATCAATCTTGAGCCCGGCACAGGAGGTGGATGCGTAAAGTCCGGCCCGTTCGTCAACATGACAGTCCATGTCGGACCCAGAGCCATGTTGACATTCGGCTCGACAAATGCCACGTCTGTGGAGAACCCGTTGGACGACCACCCCCGTTGCCTCAAACGTGATCTCAACAAGCATGTCGGCAAGAAATACTCTTCCTTCTTGAACTCAACGACCCTTATTCTCGATAATGACGAGCACGAGATGTTCCAGGCTGTTATGGAGGGAGACGATAGATTTGTAAGTTCTGGGAGCACTTTACCACTCTACGCCGCTTACTAACCTTTCTTAGGTGGACGGTCAACTAGGCGTACACGGTGGTGGCCATTACATCATTGGAGGTGAGAATTGAATTTTTATTGCTTATATAATTGTAGCAGTGTTAACAAGCTCCCAGGCGATCCCGGATCGGATGCATTCATTTCAGCTGGCGAGCCAGTCTTCTACCTCCATCACGCCCAGATCGATCGGTTGTACTGGATCTGGCAGATGCTCGACTTCGCGAACAGACAGGTATGCCATGCCCTCAACCCGATCTGGTCTCTAGTGATGCTCTTTCTCACTGCAGACATTTATAACATGGTCAAACTAACCTTGCATCTGCTTAAAGGGGGTTTCCGGCACCGAGACAATGCAAAACAGCCCGCCCAGTCGTAATGTTACTGTGGAAGACACCATTCATCTTACTCCTATCGGGGGACCAGTCAAGCTCAAGGACTTGATGAGTACTGTCGGAGGATCACCATTCTGTTATGTCTACGAATAATTGGCCTTTACAATGTTTAATCAGACAGCCTCTCCTTTCTTCGTTGCACCAATGAGAGAGGTTAAACAAATTCAACAGACTTCAACGGTCGCGTCATTTTCCACCGGAGAATATACGTTTCATCTGATGGCTTCAATCTTCATTAGGTTTCTAGGGTCGACAAAAACAACATGTCGGAAGACACATCTGATGGAATACACGTCTGATAGGGCGGACACCTACGGCGTGGAGAGTGCACATGGCGTGTCAGGTCTGTCCTTACCGCAAGTTCGGCATGATGTGACGTGACTTAAAATGGCTTGCATGATGAGCTTAGCTAGGCAGTACCTGACCGGCGTGAAACCCTTGGCGAGTGAGCGTTCATCTTATCAAACATCAACCAGTGGGTTGAAGGCCAGGAATCCATGTCTTTCCCCCAGGGGAGACGGCAAATTGGTCTCCATTCCTCCGGTTTTTTTCTCCGACTGAATCGCGCATCAGGAAATCCCAGTTTCTCCAAATTAAGTTTGTCATCTGGAACAGAATCTCCCGACAGATCATATCAAACCTGCCTGAAACCCCCGCAGCCCCCCCAAAAGTGAAGTCCGGACACTCCGCTGGAGACGCCTTCAAGACGACAGTCGGGGCATGGAGAGTATGAGCCCGAGTCAAGAACAACTCTTTGCGTCCCGCCTGACAGGTTGATCTTAAGTATATCGGGTGGCATGGCGCCGCAATCTGTAGTTGTTCAGATGATGTTGAGTCTCTTTCTTGGCGTGCTTTTGTAGTCTTTTTTTTTTTTTTTTTTTTTTATTGTCATCACTTTGTAGTCTGTCACTTTCGCAATAATGATTTCCTTCACTCAAGCCTTTGTTTCTCTTCTTACTACGACACTTATTGGTCAGGTCCAGGCGGTTGATCCGCTAGTTGACCTTGGCTATACTAAACTCCAGGGTGTCGCCGAGCCGGGTGGAGCGACCCGGTGGTTGGGAGTTCGATATGCTGCACCGCCGCTAGGCCAGCTGCGGTTCGCCGCACCGACTGATCCTCCCAACACCACAGACATCGTGGACGCGTCTAATGTTGGTCACAGCTCGCATTGACGAAAATGGAAAAACAAGTTGACTAACCTTTTTTACAAGTTTCGGCCGATATGTCTCGCCCGCAGCGCGTCGGACTTCACAATGAAGCCCAACAAGCGCTTCACAACTGACGAGGACTGCCTTTACGTCAATGTGTTTGCGCCTTCTAACGCGAAGCCGGACTCCAAGTTGCCGGTCATGTACTTTATCCAGGGCGGAGGATTCCAATCCCTCTCGAATGCCAACTTCAACGGGAGTGACTTGGCCAGGTTTGGAAACATGCTTGTAGTCCAGGTCAACTACCGCGTTGGTCCGTATGGTTTCTTGCAGAGCAAGGAGGTGCAGGCCGGCGCAAGTATGAACAACGGGTTGAAAGACCAGATTCAGGGGTTGAAGTGGCTGAAGCAACATGCTGCTGCTGTAAGTCTTTTCTACCTTGACTTTAAGTTTTTTGTCATTAACGTAAACTAGTTTGGGGGAAACCCTGATCAAATGGTGGCTGTCGGAGACTCTGCTGGCGCAACCTCGGTTGCCATGCTCCTCGCCGCGTTTGGCGAGAATGACCCAGGCTTGATCAAGGGCGCCATCATGGAATCCGTCTCGGTAGCAACTGTCCGCACTCTCGAACAGGGCCAGGAGCAGTACAACTGCCTGACCAACGCTACTGGCTGCAACAAGCAGGCCGACACCCTCGCCTGTCTCCGCAGTCTCAACGCGACGGCATTGCAGACGGAGGACTGCCAGTTCAACCCGAACCTGGATGATGACCTCGTCAAGGCGCCGACTCTGCAACGCTTCGCCGAGGGCAAGTATCTCAAGGTCCCAACCATTGCCGGAACTTGCACCGACGAGGGAACCAAAAATGTCAAGCAGAGCACCGACACAGTCGACGACGCCCTCACGCAAATCAACAACCAGGCAACTCAGTCCCTCAGCAAAGAATCCCTGGCTCTGCTCCAACAGACATACCTAGATGTCCAACAGCCCGTCTTCCCAAAGGGCGGTAAACTGTGGCGTCAGCTTGCGACAGCTCACGGCGACTTTAGAGCGCACTGCATCACCAAAATCTTCCAGGACGCCCAGGCTCGCGACGGTGTAAAAACCTTCAACTACCGCTACGGTCCCATAGACGACGAGCAAGAGGCCCTAGGCTTCGGGGCGTACCACACCGTCGAGCTAAACGGCGTCTTTGGTCCGAACAATACCGACGGCGCCCCTCCCAAATCCTACTCGACCACCAATGCTCCCATCGTCCCGCTGACCCAGGCGTACTGGGCCAGCTTTGTTCGCACCCTCGATCCCAATGCTGCCAAGATCCAGGCCGGCATGCCAGAGTGGCAGGCGTGGACTGCGGAGGGGAAGCAGAGGCTCCTGTTCCAGAACAACACTGGTACGATGGAGGGAATGCCCGTTCCTCAACAGGATAATTGCGCAATGTTGGCCCCCATGATTCCGTTCATCGAAACCCCTGCTTCGGAGGCTCAGAAGGCGTCGGTTCAGTTGAAGAAGGTCAATTCCCAGGCTGCGCCTCCACAGACCCCTCCCAGGTCTCTGCCTGGAGAGGAAATGGCCGCCTTACTGGCCAGGGCCCAGATGGAAATGATGAACAAGGGCAATGGTACAGGGAAAGGAAAAGGAGGGGGCAAGGGAAAGGGGAACAGTACCGAGCATGGCGGAGGTAAGGGGAAGGGCAAGGGCAAGGGCAAGGGCGGTGAGCACGGCGGAGGTAAAGGAAAAGGCAACAGTACTGAACACGGCGGCGGAGGCAAGGGAAGAGGTAACGGCACCGAACACGGCGGAGGTAAGGGTAAGGGCAATAATACGGGGCACGGCGGTGGTCGGGGACCCGGTGGGAACTCCACCACGCCTCCGACCGTTCCTCCCAAAAGCCCTGCGGTCAAGCTCGGGTACGGTGTTAGCTGGATGTGGTCATCTATTGCCGTTGTCTGTTTGGGCCAGTTCTTATTGGCTTGATACATATACAGTAGAGAGGGGGATGCTGCTCCTTACACCCTTGTTAGACATCAGGTTCACGCCTTGACTTTTATGACCAAACCATTTGACGTTAAGTGTCAAGCATTTCTTCTTTGCGGCTTCACACCTCTTTTGTTTAGTGTGGTTTTTGTTTTTTTAATTAGCGCTTTTGTCTACCTCCCATGAAGCCAGCGACCATCTTGTACGAGGCTTTATTATCCCCAACCTGAATCTTTCTGTCTAGTGTTGTGTCGTGCTCCACTTCTTCATAGCCTGGGCTTCAGTTCTGCTGCTGTGCTCGCAGAAACCTCCTCAGCCCCGTGTCTATCTTTATTTATCTGGGCACCGAGCCAACTCTTGATGGCAGCAACCAGCCCCTCCACTTGTTGAATACTGTTTCCAGCATGGAGACAGATCCTCACCCTCTCGCTCCCCGCCGGGACTGTAGGTGCGACGATGGGGCGTATCATGAAGCCACGCTGCTGGCAATGCTGAGCGAGACTCCTAGGGTTGGAAGTAAAAAGAGGGATTATGGGTGATTTCGGCCTGTCCTGGGTAAGATACAAAAGGCCCGGCTCCGGCTGGTACTGGTCGCAAAGCTCTAGCAGTAGCTGATGAGTGCGGTCGATGAGTGACCACAGGTGGCGGAGAAGTGGCTCAGAATGACCGGCCATGATGAAGTCGTAGGCCGTCTGCAAACTGGCGAGCGATGTAAACGGCATGGCGGTGGTGTATATGAGGCTTCGAGCGTAATTGATTAGGTATGACCGGGTGAGATGTGAGCCGAGAACGATCGCTAGAGCAGGTGAGTAAGTTGTCCATGAGACGGAGGGAAAAGGCCAACATACCTCCAGAGCAGCTCATTGCCTTGCCAAATGTGTGAACTCTGGCCCAAACTTTGTCTTCGAGACCCAGCTCGCATACTAGCCCGCGACCCTGATCACCCAGAAGGCCTGTTGAATGAGCCTCGTCGACGATGATCAAGCCATTTCCATGGGCTAGATGCCGTTCGACACATTCGACAATCTCTTTTAGCGGCGCCACATCGCCATCCATGCTGTAGATACCTTCAACGGCCACAAAAACGTTCCTCTTACCCTCTCGTACTTCCCGGCCAGCATCTCCGTGAGTCAGTTGAGAAAGTACTTCATCCAGGCTTCTTGTCTGCGATTGGCGGTCATTTTTAGTCTCTGCGAATAGCTCTCCGCCCCTTGCGACGTCAACCGATTCAACCGTATTATGCGCAAACGCAATCCTCTTCTCAGCTCGGCTCATCCTCATTCCATCATGCACACTAGCGTGGATGAGCTCATCGTATACGATGACATCCCCACGTTGCGGGACGCAACTAAAGAGTCCGACATTCGCATCAAAACCGGAATTGAAGAGTAACCCCGCCGGAGCGCCGTGGAAAGCAGCAATTTCCGTTTCCAGGGACTCTGCGAGCGTCATGTTGCCGTCCAAGAGGCGAGATCCACCGGATCCAAGCAGCGTTGGGGCGTTTCCATCGTCTAAACTGCTGGACGGATCCAGGTGGGCCTGTAGACGGGCGAGATACCGGCGCTGGATCTCCGGGTGGGTCGAGAGTGAGAGGTACGAGTTGGATGAGAAGTCGGCGCTGCCGGCCGGCACAAGTGTCAGTCGCCGGAGCTGACTTTTGGCATCCCGGCGAGCGAGCAATGCTGCGAAGACATTGTCTAAACGGTCGCTTGCCGGCATAATTGAGATGAGAATTGACTCACAAAAAAAAAAAAAAAAAAAAAAGAGTGAACCGGTGAGAATGTGTCAACCTCGGCATGGTAAAATCCAAGGGACGAGGGAATTTACCCTTGACCTCCCCCAGAGATCGAGAAGGGGGCGCACGAATGCAAGATCCATGCAAGCTCAACCCCACAAGGGGGCTCATACCAAGTTGCAGCGGTTGGGAAACCCAAAAGTTGATTCGTGGGTGATTGACACAGTCACATCTCAACAAGTTTTCCTTTTTTCCCTCTCTCCCTATGATAGCCGCAATGCCGCCCCAGTTTCTCGGCGCAACAAATGCCGCAGCCCATGCTCCGTACCCCGCTGAGTGTCTCCTCTCTCTCCCCATTCTCCCATACCTCGGGGCTTCCGGTTAGAGACAGGACAGGACACCAATTACATCTTGTTCTATTGCAAGCGAGTGAGTTTGTTTACTGCAGCTTTCTGGCGGAATTCGGAAACCATCAATTGGTCCTTTCCTTTGACTTACTTGTCTTTTTTTTTCGTCTTGGCTGTATCTGAAAAATAAAGCCGTCAACTTTGATGTGTATTTGAGACTGTTTTACGCCCTCAAATGGCACCCGTTGGCGCCCTGCTTTGGCGCTCGCTTAGAGCATACCAAATCTACGGCGCCAATACAGATGTCGGGAAGACGGTGTTCGCCTCGATCCTGTGCAACGCAGCCCGCAAGCTGTGGCCGCATGAGCAAACAGCCTTCCTGAAACCCGTTTCTACGGGCCCGGCCTCTGAAGCCGATGACGGGTGTATGTTATTGATCCCAAAGCTGGGGTTCCTCAACCGAGTTTCTCCGGTTTTTTTTTTTTTTTTTTTTTTTTTTTTTTTTTTTTTTTTTTTTTTTTACCCACTGGGCCATCTCAACTAACTTCGGGAATAGAATGGCAATGTCCTCGGCCTCGATCGGCGTTCGTGTTTTGCTGAACCTTCTTTTTTTAGGCACATTGAAAGGTTCGCGCCCGGAATCGCGAGGAAGACGTTGTTTCAGTTTGAGATTCCCGCCAGCCCTCACCTGGCCGCTGCGGTCTCGAAGCAGGTCAGTCGAAGAAAAAAAAAAAAAAAACACATTATGTAGTAAGCCCTGTAGTTGAGATACTGACTATTTTTTAGCCAACCCCAATCGATAATGAAGTATTGAAAGGTATCCACGGTTATGCATCACGCCGAGCAGCCGAAGGCCCCGGTTGGCTATTCGTCGAAACGGCCGGCGGCGTACATTCGCCGGCTCCGTCCGGAACCCCGCAGGCCGACCTCTACGCCCCGCTCCGCGTGCCGGTCGTTTTCATCGGCGACGCCAAGCTCGGCGGTATCTCGCAAACCATATCCGCCTTTGAGTCTCTGAAACTTCGCGGTTACGACGTCGAATCGATTTTGCTTTTCAAGGATGACCAGTACCAGAATTACTCCTACCTCACCGACTACTTTTCCCGCGGACACGGCATTCCTGTCAATTCTCTCGAGCAGCCTCCGGCTCGCGTCGAAGATGCTGCAGCAGACGCCAAAGCTCTGTCTCAGTATTACGACGAAATGAGTTCAAGCGACACTATCAAGGACACTCTAAATCACCTGCACGACCGCCACCTTGCCAGAATCTCCCGTCTCGAGACCATGTCTCACGACGCGCACGACATCATATGGTACCCGTTCACACAACACAAAGGTCTCACGCCGGAAAAGATCACGGCAATCGACTCCGCCCACGGTGATTGCTTCCAGACGCTTGTCCCGCAAAGCAAGAGCACGTCGGAAGACCAATCCCTCCTGCAGCCCTCGTTCGACGGATCCTCGTCCTGGTGGACGCAGGGCCTGGGCCACGCCAACCCCAAGTTGACGCTCGCGGCGTCCTACGCCGCCGGCCGCTACGGGCACGTCATGTTTGCATCTGCCGTCCACGAGCCTGCCTTGGCGCTTGCCCAGACTCTCCTCGATGGCTTGAAGAACCCGCGCCTCTCTCGCGTGTTTTACTCCGACAACGGCAGCACGGGCATGGAAGTAGCCGTCAAGATGGGTCTGCGCGCTTCCAGAGTTCGCTACGGCTGGGAGGCGAGCGAGAAGCTTGAAATCCTCGGTTTGAAGGGCAGTTATCACGGCGACACCATGGGCGCGATGGACTCGACGGAGCCGTCGGTGTTCAACGAAAAGGTAGAATGGTACGAAGGGAAAGGTTTCTGGTTCGATTACCCCTCTGTCATGTGCAAGAACGGAGAGTGGACTGTTCGGATACCGGAGGCCCTGGGCGGCGAACTCGGTGATGGACAGAGTTTCAGCACCTTGTCCGAGGTCTTTGACGTCGTCGGCAGAGAAAGAGCACAGGAACAACGGGCGTACGAGAAGTATATCCTTAAAGTCCTCGCCGGCCTCCACGAGCAAGGCCGCAAGTTTGGCGCATTGGTGATGGAGCCTGTCGTTCTTGGAGCCGGAGGCATGATCATGGCGTGAGTTTTTGCATGACCCGCATCGTACCTATCTATTTTCACAGAAGAGGGAGACTAACGCGTGTCGTGTTTTTTTTTTTTTTTTTTTTTTGCAGAGACCCGCTCTTCCAACGCACTCTCGTCAAAGTAGTCCGGGAACACCCCGAGATGTTCGAAACATCCAGATCTACAGAACAAACAGATCCCAACGCTTGGTCCGGCCTCCCCGTCGTCTTCGACGAGGTGTTTACGGGTCTCACCCGCCTCGGCCGCTTCTCGGCTGCGTCCTTCCTCGGCGTCGACCCGGACGTCGTATGCAATGCCAAGCTGCTCACAGGCGGCCTCGTGCCGCTCTGCACCACCTCGGCGTCCGATAGCATCTTCCGCGCCTTCGAGAGCGATGAGAAGAGCGACGCCCTCCTGCACGGCCACAGTTACACCGCGCACGCCGTCGGGTGCCAGGTGGCTCTCGAGTCGCTGCACGAGCTGCAGAGGATCGATAAGCAGGGCGAATGGGACTGGGCGAAGACTGGGACGTGGGCGGGCGGAGCGCCGCCCGCTGTTGCAGCGACCCAGAAGAAGCCGTCTGCCACTGCCGAGGTGTGGTCTGTCTGGTCTCAGCCGTTCGTCGACTGGGTTTCGAGACAGAGCGGCCGAGTTGCGGGGGTTTGGGCCCTGGGATCAGTGCTTGCGATCCACATGGAAGACGCCGATGGCGCTGGCTACCAGAGCAACGCAGCCGCTGAGCTGCAGAGCGCGCTGCTGAAGGGAGACACAGATGGCGATGGTCAGCGGTGGAACGTTCACAGTAGAGTCCTCGGCAACGTCCTTTATGTCATGACTAGTCAGACGGTGAAGCAGGATGATGTTGAGAGGTTAGAGAGCCTTCTTGCGCGAGCATTGAAATGAACATGTTAGTCGACAGTAAGACTGTGGTCAGATGTATGATTGGATTATCAACAAAGCTTTACGGTTATGGTCTGTTGTGGCCTAATAGGGCGATAATAGATAACTTGCGCCTACGTTATGTTTACTTCAACTGCATAGAATCCATGTGCGATCTGCACTGTTGAACATGCGATTGTGGCTTCTTTGATTGATAGTCGCCCCCTGTTCACGTCACGATACGTAACGTGGTGATTCATACTGAGGCAATATAATTCCCCCGGATAACCACTACCGCAGTAGTCGATAGCATAGTGTAATTGATAACATCTAGCAGTCCTTATCATGTATTAGTTGTCGGCTCGAGTTGGTAAAATAGGTTCAAAGGATATCGCGGCAGTTTGGCAATAATCATGGCTGGGCGGCTATATGCCAATGCCTCCGGTCTCAGTCTCATCGATCCCCCCACCAACCGTCTTTAGAAAGACAGACTATAAAGTGCCGTACATTGACCATCCAGCTTAGGCGAATGCAATGCTCTGTGGTCTTACTAACCAGCTGAAAAGATGCCTCGTGATGAAGACTAGCTTCGGTATAAATTCCCTGATGGATCTTGGATACAGATCTGACTAGCTCTTACAGGAGAGAGAGCTGAATGGATGTTCCAGAAGGAGATGCATGCGTCAATGGTTCCAGGGCTAGCGACAATATCCATGTAAGTCGCGCACTGCCATATGGTCAGAATAGAATACGAATCAGATATCATAGAGTCTCAGCTTATGCTTGGCTTCTTTTATGCTGATAATTGGATCAAGATACGATGGAAAATGGGAATTTGTTTGGATGGATGGGTGGGTGGGGGGGCTCCAAGGCAAGGCCGAAATATCCTTGTCGCTGCGAGTGTTTCCCTACGTGATGCAAAGAAAAAGAAATTCATCGGTAAGAAGCGAAAGATGGCGCAAGTAGACATAATTTTCGACTGCATTTTCTTCGTATTATTCCGATATTCTCATCCTATCCTTTTTTGTCTCGGCGGATTTCCACAGAGGAGGTGTCCTACCGAGTTGCCGATGAACCAGTGAGGATGAGAAACAGTGATCATGCGGGGATACGCCAAGACTAAAAGACAATTGTTCTTAGCCTATTGTTAAGTTTACCGCTACGGAGCGCCAGCTGCTTTAGATCTTGGAAAGTTATGGTTTGGTGGAGGGGGATAACGGCCGCCGAAATACCAGTTGCTTATCCTGCCCCAAGCTAGTGAGCTGTAGAGGGTGGAGGGTGGCTAAGAGTTTAGAGACTGATGTCGAGGTTTCGGGCCACAGAGGGCCGGCTCTAGACTTCAGACCAAAAAATGTGCGGATTTAAGATGTTTTATGCGGGCGAGCCCGGGTTTAAGGAAAAAATGCAGGTCTGAGAACTGTCAGCAGGGGGTGTGTTCGCTGACGTATGCAGCTCCATGCTGTCCAACTCTGATGATCCTTTATACCGCTACGTAGTACTTTACGTGCACTAAGAGAAACGCGAGAGGCTCGTTCTGTGGAGACTGGGCTTGTGCAGCCAGCGACCCCCAGGGTTGGGCCAAATGCCGTGCCGTCAGTGTAGGATAGTGATCCTACCCACTAACCAAGTAGTGAGGTGCTACACTAAGCTACACTGCGGATCTGCAATCTAATCTACTCCCGAGCGCCACACAAATCTAGACGGCCTCCCGTTGGCTGTATCTTCCACCACGTTGTGCTGATGATAGATCCACTCTCGTTGCCGTCGTGCCGTCTAACCCGTTGACTACCATTACACCACAGTCTGTAGTGTCACTATACGTATCCGCCTCCTGGGCTCCTCTCTTCAAGCCCGTCATCCCGGTCCAGTGTGGTCGCTGCATGTCCTGTTGCCACTCAATCAGGGGAACGTCACTTGGCATTTTTGTGGGAATGCCCAAGCACACCGATTCAGACATTGGTGCTGGGCTGTCTCTCTTGACAGACAGACAGGGTTATTATTACTATCGATATCTACGGATACGTATCATTACCAGTGACTTCTCTCCGAGACCTCCGAGACAAAAAGCGGGTACCCTGGACGGCCCGTCCTAGCATCAAAGCTTGACTCTTGATCGGCTCCACAGCGTCTCTTAGTACAACGTCCACCACCTACGTCTGTGAGCACCGCTCTTAACCTTAGCACCGATTGCCCGCTCCTAAGCCTTCTTCCCTCCCCACGTATTCATCTGGGCTCCCCCCTTCAACTGCCACGTGTGAGAGCCGAGATGCCCTGCGGTTTCGCAATCGCACTGATGGAGGATAAACTGGAGACCAGTGGAGACCAGGCGTCCCCTACATTGACGGCCGAATTCCGTCCTACCTTTCATATGCCTGTTGCAAGCTATGCTCGCGCCCCTCCAAGCGGAATCCCCTCGGTGGATCTGAACTTCGCGGCTCGCCCCTACAATGTGACCGACCTCATCTAGTCTTCTAGACTGGATGTACGACAAGCCGAGGGGTCAGTAATCATCAAAGAAGGCCTTCATTTTTTTTCCCCCCTTCTCTTCACTGTTGCCCTCCCCACATCGGCCCCGGCCTGCCGTTGAGCGCCGACCGATCGATGACGGCCCCCCGGTGTTCAGATGGTTTGTTACAGAACGGTGGAACTTTTCTGCCCTATGAACATGACGTCGTCGTCTCATAACCTTCCCGAGTCACGTCCCCATGAGCGGATTTGGGGCCCATGAGGAAATCCCGCCGCAGCTGAAAACCGCCCTCGGGACGGCGTCCGCGGCAATAAACCTTGGCTTATGAGAGGTTTCCTGAGTATATAACTACTCTGGTCTAGACCTGTCTCACCCCCCTTCACTGCTCTAATCATTCGAGACATCATCGAGTTCCTATATATACCCCTTATCTGAACACACACAAGATATACCATTGACCCTCAGATATCTCTATCCGACCTTACTACTATACCATCCTGACTTATACGCACAACAACTTGCCATCCTCAACACACGGCCAACAACTCATCATCCCCAACACCACAAGACCAATACCAGCATGGCCACAACTCAGCATGGAAAGCGCTTGATCCCCCAGGTCCTGGACGAGATCGCCAAGTCAGACCCCAACGCCGAAATCCTCTCAGTCCCTCGCTCGTCCGACCCCAAGGATGGATGGAAGAAGATCACATACAAGCAGGTTGCCAACGCGGTGAACCGCATAGCGCAAAGAATCATCGACAAGAGCGGCAAGCCTGAGCCTGGATCCTTTCCCACGCTTGCCTATATTGCGCCCAGCGATGTGCGCTATTTGATCATCACCATTGCCTGTATCAAGGCGGGCTACAAGGTGCGTGTGTCTGAAATGTATACCCCCGCTGGATCCGCAGCTAACCCATTCCTTCGTAGGCGCTTTTGATCTCTCCTAGGAATTCCTTCGAGGGCCAGATCAACCTCTTCGAGAAGACTGACTGCAACACAATCTGCTTCGACTCCTCGTTCAAGGATGTCGTCCAGCCCCTCCTGGAAGAACGTCACATGCAAGCCGTCATGATTAACTCGCTCGATGACTGGCTTGACGAAACCGAAGTCCCTCACATCCCCTATACCAAGACTTTCGAGGAGGCCAAGATGGACCCCGTCGTTGTCCTGCACACGAGCGGTAGTACCGGCCTGCCCAAGCCCATTGTTGCACGCGTCGGCATGGTTGCCGCCGGCGACGCCTTCCAAGACCTCCCGGACTTCATGGGCTCCATCAACTGCATTAGATCCATTATGCTCGGCGAGCGGGTATACTTACCGATGCCACTGTTTCACGCCGCTGGCTGCTACATGATGCTGTTTGCTGTCATTTACTGGAAGCACCCTATCGCACTCAACTTTACCGACCGTCCTCTAACTGCCCAGACGGTGCTGGATGCGGTGGCATACGCCAACATTGACAATGCTATCCTGCCGCCTGCCATCTTGGAAGAGCTGGCTTACATGCCTGAAGGCATCGAGGCGTTGAAGAAGCTGAAGCGGGTGAACTTTGGCGGTGGTAACTTGGCTCGCGAAGCCGGCAACATTCTCGTCAAGCACGGTGTGTCTCTTGCTAGTGTTATCGCTTTCACCGAGTGCGTGATCCTCACCTCCTATTATACGTGATGGAAACTAACGTTGAAACCAGGGCCGCGCCTTTGACTTACTACTTCCAGAAGAACCTGGACCTCTGGCAGTGGTTCATTGTCGATTCGGAGCGCATGGGTATCGACTGGCGCCCCGCCAGTGGCGAGGACGAAGGCGTCTACGAACAAGTCATCGTCCGCAAGGACAAGGACACGGAGGACCCTTTCCAGGGCATCTTCTACACCTTCCCCGACGCCAAGGAATACAACACGAAGGACCTATACCGCAAACACCCGACCCTGCCGAACCACTGGACGTACTATGGACGCTCCGACAACATCATCGTCTTCTCCAACGGCGAGAAGCTGAACCCCGTCACCATCGAGGAACTCGTTACCGGCCACCCGAGAGTCAAGGGTGCCGTGGTTGCCGGAGCAATGCGCTTCCAGCCATTCCTCATCCTCGAGCCTGTGGAGGAGCTCAAGTCGGAGGAGGAGAAGGAGCAATTCATCAAAGACGTCTGGCCCTCGGTTGTCAAGGCGAACAAGGAAACAGTCGCCCACGGACAAATCGGCCCCCAGTTCATTGGAATCACATCGCCCGACAAACCCTTCCCTCGCGCTGGAAAGGGTACCATCCAACGCCCCATGGCTTTGAAGCTGTACAAGGATGAGCTTGACGAGTGGTACAAGAAGGCCGAGGAAGGCTCCGACTCCCTCTCGGTCAGCATCGACCTCAGCTCCCAGCAGGCCCTGACCGAGTCCGTGGAGAGGCTCTTCCAGCAGACGCTCGGCAGCAGACCACTTTCTGCCGACTCCGACTTCTTCAGCGCCGGCATCGACTCCATGCAGGTGATCAACGCCTCCCGTCTGCTCCGCCGCGGGCTCGAAGCCGCCGGTGCCAACATCAGCGCCGACGCCATCGCCACCAGGGTCATTTACGCTCATCCGACCCCCAGACAGCTGGCTGCCTACCTCTTGGATCGCGTGAGGAAGGGCACCGGCGTGAACGGCACCGCGTCTGAAGATGACTCCATCAGCCCCGAGCACGACATCCACGCCATGGAGGCTCAGCTGCAAAAGTACACCCGCGATCTGCCCAGGAGACAGGAGAACAAGCCCGCACCAAAGGACAAGGGCCAGACTGTTCTCATCACCGGCACCACCGGTGCTCTGGGCTCGTACATGCTCGACTTCATGGAGGCCAACCCCGCCGTCGACAAGATTGTCTGCCTGAACCGCAGCGAGGACAGTGGCAAGCGCCAGGTCAAGATGAGCGCCGAGCGCGGCCTCGCCACTTGTTGGAAGAAGGCCGAGTTCCTCTGCGCCGACATGTCCAAGAGCGACTTTGGCCTCGAGCCCGAGGTGTACCAGAGGCTTCTCAAGGAGGCCGACCGCGTCATCCACAATGCCTGGCCCGTCAACTTCAACATCTCCGTCGAGACCTTTGAGCCTCACATCCGTGGTGTCCGTCACTGGGTCGACTTCTCCCACCAGGCAGCCAAGAACGTGCCCATCATCTTCATCAGCAGCATCGGCACCGTCGACTCGTGGCACGGCCCGGGCCCCGTTCCCGAGAAGAGGCTCATGGATCTGACCCTCCCCAGCACCGGCTACGGCCGGTCCAAGATGGTCAGCTCTCTGATCCTCGACGAGGCGGCCCAGCGCTCCGGCGTACCGACCGCCGTCGTCCGCGTCGGCCAGGTCGCCGGCCCCCAGTCCGAGGCCGGAGTCTGGAACCGCCAGGAGTGGCTGCCGACCATCATTGCCAGCTCGGCCTATCTCGGCCTGTTGCCCAAGGACCTCGGCGCGATGGACATGGTCAACTGGACCCCCATCGAGGGCATCGCCAACCTCATCCTCGAAGTGTCCGGCATTTCCGAGCCCGTGCCCCTGCACGAGATCTCTGGCTACTTCCACGGCGTCAACCCCCGCACGGTCGAGTGGGAGAAGCTCGCCGACGCGGTCAAGTCCTTCTACGGCGACGACCGCATCAAGAAGGTCGTCCCCTTCTCGGAGTGGGTCAGGGCTCTGGAGGACAGCACCGTCTCCAGCAACGACGTCGACAAGAACCCCGGCGTGAAGCTGCTTGATTTCTACCAGGGCCTGGCCCACGGCGGCGGAAAGGGCGTCGACTTCTCCATGGAACGCACCGTCCAGCACAGCAAGACGATGAAGGAGATGCGGGCCGTGACTCCCGAGCTGATGCAGAACTGGTGCAGACAGTGGGGGTTCTGAAGTTAGTTTTGGGGGGAATTGTTTTTTTTTTTTTTTTTGGGGGGGAAATAGACTTGTAATAATACCTCGGCGGGATGCATTTAGCCTTGATATTTAGAGCAAGAATTTTTGGTCTGTTTTAGAAATAAAAATAAAGCACATTTTGAAATTCTACGTTTGCTTGACCCCCTTGTCTGTGATTACGCCTTCTCTCCAACCATAGGACTTGAGTGTTACATTTCGGCATGCCTGAGAGTGGATTAATGAGCGTTCGGTACAAGTTAGTGCCATGCAGCGTGTGTGACTGCGCCGCATTTGCTCATGTGTAGTGAGACTCCAAAACCAGTGTGATCAGCTCCTCGTACTTACAAAAAGTTGCCATGAATCCCAGCATCTGATCCTACACTCTCACGACTCAACATAAAAATAAATGTCACCAACTCCTCCATCGCCAGTGAAGACGCCTCTCCAAGTATGACGCCCAAGACGTACGAGAGCTATGAGTACCAGGCCCTCTCGGCAACCGACTCGGTTCGTCTTCTCCGGATATCAAGAGACGACGAGCAGCCCCACGGCATGCTCCTCTCCCTCACGGAAGCCTCCCTCGCCGACGACCCGCACTTCGCGGCGCTGTCGTATACCTGGCAGCTCCCGCAGTACGACGACACTCGGGAGGGGAGAGCCAGCCGAGGGCTCGGGGAAACGTACGAAGTGGTCTGCGACGGGAAGATGATGGCCATCTCCGAGAACCTGTTCGGTTTCCTCCGCGCCGTGCTCCACGCCCGCGCCGGCGACTCGCGTGTGACCAGGTCGAAGCTCACGGCCAAGGTCCACGGCTTCCTCGACGCCCTGCCGGTATGGATCGACGCGTTCTGCATCAACCAGGGCGACAACGAGGAGAAGCGGCACCAGGTTCTCCTCATGCACAGGATATACAGCTCGGCGCAAAAGGTCATTGTGTGGTTGGGCCCGACGGAGCCGGATCCGGACGTCGTCTGGGTCCACGACAAGTTCATCCCCGCCATCTCCCGGCTCACGCAACGGCGGCTGCCGGGTTTCGTAGAAACCCACCTCAAGAGCGATCCCGTGTGCAGCTCGCCCGAGGTCGTGGCGGAGCTGGGGTCCGAGATTTGCTTCCGTTGGACCTCGGCGTGGATGGCTTTCAACATGTTCATCTACGGCCAGCGCTGGTTCGACCGCGGATGGGTGGTCCAGGAAGTCGCGCTGGCGGACCCGGCCGTGGTCTACGTCCTCTGCGGGAGGTCGACCTTCAGCTGGAAGCGTCTGACGGCGTTTGCCCAGTTCCTCGGGGAGACGGGATGGAACGATTCTCTCCTGGAACGGCTGCAAAACACCGGCGAACGGTACCCCTATCCGTCCAACAGGAAAAAGATGGAGGACATGGCCAACGTCAGTGACAGGCTGCTCAAAATGAGCCAGGCCCGTCGGACGCTCGCCGAGGTCGCGAAGCAGACGGGCTTGCTCGAGGAGCATGCCGTCTTCTCGTGGAATAGAGAAGTCGAACAGGCGTGGTTCACGTGCGCCAACGTTCTCGTCCACTCGCTCCGCTCCTCGGATTTCCAGGACAAACGCGACCACATATACGGCTGTCTGGGCATGCTCGCCATCCTCCTACCTCATAGCTTCCCAAGCCCCATCGCCCCGGACTATGATCATTCGGTACCACAAGTGTTCGCTTCCGCCGCAGCTCTGTTCCTCAGGAACATGCCCATGCTGATGGAGCTGTCGCGGGCCGGCAGGCGAGCTGTTCGATACATCATCGGCCTGCCCTCGTGGGTCCCTGATTATTCCTGTTGTTCACGGGGGCAACACCCAACACGGGAAAAGCTCTTCCCACTAAATCGATACAATGACATGGATCTCCGACAACTTGATATAGTCGAGAAGAAGATATGGGGGGCAGATTTGAGACGCCCGGTGGCCCAAGGTTTTCAACTCTTGGTATATGGTTTCCGACTAACCTCCATATCCTACGTGAGCGTAGCCAACTCCCTCCAGAGTCAGGGTTTCGATATGGAGAATCGCTTAATGGAGTTCGCCTTGGACGTAGCCAACTCAGTCAACCCTCTGCTGCACGGCATTTTCTGGAACGGGTTGGCATCTGTGGTCCTCACCATGGGGACGCCAAACCCGAGTCGGTTCTTTCCTTACCAGGACGTCCGGTTTGCTGGGGGAGATTTGTCGGATGTCGTATGTGCAGAATTCGCAGAAAGATATCTGTATACAACTGACTCGGGCGCTCTCGGTCTTGGTCCTCGCGAGGTGGAGGTAGGCGATGAGATATGGATGGTCGAAGGCGCCTGGGCGCCCTTCGTCCTGCGCAGGGTTAAGCCCAAGCCCGAGGATAAATGCGCTACAACTGAAGATGATGAATCTAGCACTGAGATGTACGAATTCGTGGGAGAGACCGATTTACAAGGTTTCGACATCCAGAATAACGACTTTGCAACTCTAGAGCAACGAGTCTACTTCCAACAAATCGAATTAGTATGAATAGCAAGAAAGGGGAAACAAACTGTAGAAGAGCAAAAAGTTTAGAATGTCCAAGGCCGCCACAACAGTGCAGTTGAATGGATACTATCGTACACTGGTGGTCACGATGGAGTCGAGTCTTCCAAAAGTAAGGTGGGGCAAAAGAAATGCGCCGAGGGGGAATCGAACCCCCGGCTCCCCGACGCTGCTGGATGGCAACGGAGAATTTTACCACTAAACCATCGGCGCATTACATGGAAGCTTGCGAGATTTTCCTAATACTTGTACCATTCAGTCGGCTCTCAACCACAAGATGCTTCCAGAATGTTGCTGCAGCTAATTACAAAGACATGATTCGAATTAAGTTTGAACTGAACGCAATTACCCCTGATTTCTCGTTCTGTTACACCCTGTAGCCAAGTTGTCAGCCCCCCCGCCACAAACGTAGCCAAAGACCGACTTACCCAGCAAACAGGGTAAACTAGACTAATCATATTGAAAGTCTTCTCTCTACCTAGGCTCTTCCTGATTTTTCAGCCGCAACAGATGGTGGCGGATGTCGTCTAAAGTCCTCTACCACGCGTATGACAGCCTCAGTGAGAGATTCGCCCCTCCTCCAAAGAAGATATACCAGTGATACATTCCCCGTCAGGTGTAGCACTTTAATGGCCACTTTCGTAGTTACCAATACAAAATACATAGAGAAAACAATCCAAACAAAGCCCGCCGGTGGTAGGAGTTCCCATACGACGGCAGCAAGGAATGGGAGAGGCGGGTCAGTCATATTGTAGCCTGACGATGTCCCGAACGGGTGTTGAGCTCGTCGGGTTTGGTTGATAACCTTATAGAAAGGTTCCACGGCTATGACCTCCATAATGAGGAATAGATAAAGCTCTGCGGTGTCGCTAGGTGATCGGGCTGAATGCAACACTAATTTGTTAAAGTTGTTAGCCCGGCCGACGAAAATACCATTTTGCATTAACTTACATCGTTGTCGTCTACGTAGCGGCCTTGAGCACCACAGTCAATGTGAAAAGCACCAGAGCCAGGAGCGTTAGGGACGTAGAGGAAGCTAGCGACTCAGTTATGTAGGTTCAGCTACGTTAAGAAGGTGCATGTCATCGACAGCGTTAAAGGCGGGCAAAGGCTGGGCGGCGGCGCAGCAGCCAAGTTCGCCAAGCAGTCATCATACCTGAGCTTTATGCCGGATAACCGCCCATGGCTTTGGCAAAAGCTACTAATTGGCTTCCTTGCGAAGTCAAGAACTTACTTCATTTGCTTGAGTAAGAATAATAGTATGCTTAGGCCACGGGTCATTGTAGATCCGAAATAGACTTGGACTCAAACCTCCATCCCATGTCAAAAGTGCGTATTTGAGAAGCCCAGACTAGGAGAAATATCGTCCTCACATAGATGGGCCGCAATGTCTGCAGGTAGCAAGCAGGCTCTCATGGCTCTATAGGTTAGTAAGATAGCTCAGTTAGGGACGATACTGTCCCACAACTACCTTTCACTTCCAATCACTGAGGACTACATGTAAGGCAAGAAAGAAATCCGTTGTTGGTGTCGAAAGTCATCAAGGCGTAATGCATATGGTCCTCCGTTCAACCAGAAAAGCAACCGCCATGCATCTCAGTTTGCAACTCCAGCCCAGAACGTCCAAGCCAAGGGTCGGCTCCCTTCTACAAAGGGCCCAAAAGACTTGTGGAATAAAAAAAACCGTCATGTTGGAGGAAGCCTCCAAAACTCGGCTCAGGGAAAGTGTTGACAATGGCACATGCCATATTCACCTCCTCGCACCATCTTCTCCACACTACAATTCCACCTCCCCAATGTCTAACCTCTACTTGGGCACAGCGTACTTGGCAGTCCACTCCTTAGCCGTCGCAATAGCCGCCTGCTCGTCCTCCTTCCAGCTCTTCGCAACGTCGGCAGCAAGCGGGTCGTCGGGGTTCGGGGCACCCAGAAGGGCCTGGATGGACAGGAGGATCGTGCGGATCTGGAGAGCAGGGGACCAGTTGTCTGTGAGAGGAATCGCTTTGTCAGTGCTTTGTGTGCATCGCATTCATATACCAGCTTTCACTCACTCTTCAGGACATCAAGGCAGATACGACCCAGCTTGTCGACGTTGGGGTGGAAGATCTTGGTGAGGAAGCGAATCTTGGGGGGAGTCATGGGGTAGTCATCGGGCAGGAAGAGCTCGAGCTTAAAAACACCACCTGTAGCATCACGTTAGTCCGCCATCCTTCCTCATATTCGTGTATGTCTGCCAACCTTCATATGGTGATTGTGTAGGGCCGTGGATCTCGACGTCGAAGTAGCGGAGGTTGTCCTCGTGGGGAACGGCACTGATACCCGGGACGCTGCGCAGAAAACCATCATTAGTGATCAGTCGCAAAGGTTATTATCTGAAAGACCCTTACGGCTCGGCCATGAGACGCTCGGTCTCTTTGACAATACGCTTGGGCAGAGCCATACTGAGCGACGGAGAATATGTCGGGTGTTTGTAGAAGGGAAAAGTAGCCGGGAGTGGAGGTGATTCCACCTTCTTCTTTACAGTAATTCTCCCGTAGCGAAAGGCGGTGTTTGGCGGGGTCAAGCGAGTGATGAATCACAAAGGGAGGTGTCTTCAGGGTTCAAGGTCGTAAATCGAGGTCGCGTTGTCGAAAAAAAAAAAAAAGAAGTCGCAAAAGCAATGATGATCGGATGTTCGGGAGGTCTTGATCAAGCGGTAGGAGGCGAGTAAATCAGCTTTAGTGTTTCGAACCAAGGCAGGCAAGATACGTCTGGCGGGCATGTGCTTGGGAAAGCCTTGTTCTGAATTGCCCCGCGGGAGGGACCAGCATGACATGCGCTGGGAACCTGACGCCCGAAAATAGAGTGGGCAATTGTACCAATTCAACTACGATGTGATTGGTGGAGTGGTATCGGCGGGGAAGAAGTATACGACTGCTTGTTTAATATGGAGCGGTACATTCGATAAAAGCGGGTCAGATCCTTCATCCAATCCCTCCACGACGGTCGGTCCTGGATGCGTAGCTGCATCTGATCCTGTCGCGTGCATCGAAAGCAGAGCCTCATCAAAGACGTTCAATATCATCCTGCATATCGACTTAAACGTTCCCAAACAACAAATTAAACACTCGAGCTATATCGAATCGCTCATTCATACCCTTCAGCCTGAGCTTTTGACGTATCATGGCCAGGATATCTCACCAACAGATGCCCTCATGAGGCATCTCTCTCATCTAAGCTCCGACTACAACCATGCCGCACTTCGACAAGATTGACCCTCCGAAGAAGGGCAAGCCCATCAAATCAGCTTTCGATAGTGAGAGCTTTGACGCTGATGGCACCATTCATGTCGCCGGACTGGTGGGATCGGCAACAATCTCACCGTCCGGCAGAGACGTTGCTTTAGCCTCGTGAGTGATCTTGGTTGAGATTGACCTAAACCAACATCCCCTTACTAATCTGTCTTCAGACCTGAGGGGTTGTCCATCATTGACCTGGATTCGCCATATAACCCTCCTCGCCGTCTCAGCAGCCACGGCTCTCCATGGCTTGTTACCGATGTTCAATGGTCGCCCTTCGCCGCCCGCGACTACTGGGTTGTCTCAACTGCCAACCATCGGGCTCTCGTATGGAACCTCAATCTAAGAGACGACTCTGCTTCAGGTGCCATCGAGCACTCTCTTCAAGGCCACAGTAGAGCCATTACCGACGTCAACTTCTCTGCTCATCATCCCGATCAGCTCGCGTCGTGCGCAGTTGACGGTTATGTCCACTGCTGGGATCTGAGACGCCCACGACAACCTGTGATTACATTCTGCGACTGGTTCGCTGGCGCCACCCAGGTCAAGTACAACCGTCAAGATCCGCATATTCTTGCGTCGTCCCACGATAGGTGGTTGCACATCTGGGATGAGCGACGTGCGTGCGAGCCCCTGAAATCTATTAGCGCACACACCTCAAAGATTTACGGTATCGACTGGAACAGAACTCGGTCAACTGGTATCGTTACGTGCTCTCTGGACAAGCACATCAAGTTTTGGGACTATGGAAGCGATCAAGATGTCCCAGAGCGCGTCATCCGCACCGAATTCCCGGTCTGGCGCGCTCGTCACACCCCATTCGGCCGGGGTCTCTTAGCGATGCCCCAGAATGAACCAGGCGATTTGTACTTGTACGACAGGAGATCGCCCCCTAAAGACCCCGAGGAGGGACCGACAGAACCTGTCGCTGTCTTCCCAGGACACGGCAATCACAAAGTCAAGGAGTTCTTGTGGAGGAGCAGAGGCAGCATCAATGATGAGGGGCTGGACAACAGAGACTTCCAGCTCGTGTCGTGGGGAGAGGACAATGAGCTGCGACTTCAGCAGGTTGACCCGTCAATTCTCGAATCTGTGGGTTATGTCAAGGGGATGCCGGCCAGCAAAAATCTAGTTCTTACACGAAAGGGGGCTGCATACAAAACATTCCGAACCGTGGAAGATAGCGTCAGCCGAGACAGAAGGAGTGCGACGATGAGTGACCCTCGTACCGGCGCGCAATATCGGCAGAGTGCCCTAACAATGGGCATGCGCTCAGGGCCGACAACCTACACCAGACTCGGAGCTGCCTGGAAGGGCTCATCAATGAAAGCTAAAAGCACGTCCAAAGGGATGGACCGCAGCCAAGCCCACATTGGCTGGATGAAGGGCATCATGATGAACAAGAGGAAGGCCTCGACCGATAGTCCCAGAAGGGCAGATTCGAAGGACTCAACAATGTTCAGCCCCGGATACATGGACGACGACAAATGGGGAGAACCAGAGACTATTCAGGAAGAGTTTCTCCGCATTAGCATGCAGCTGCCCAAGGTCAAATGGGAGAACATCGACATGGACTCGCTTACTCTTCATGCATCCCTCAACGGACCTTGGGGTGCGAACGGAGAAACTATTTTCATCAAAGTCAGAGTCGATATACCTTCGAACTATCCAAGGTTCAAAGCCCCGCGATTTTATATTGAGAAAACGAGCTTCATGTCCGAGAAGACACATAAGAAGGTCGAGCATGAAATCCACGAACTTTGCCACCAGTTTCTGCAACAGAAACAGAACTGCCTGGACGTCGCATTTTCGTACTTGTTGGGCGAGATCGACCTTGCGGCCAGTACAAACTTTTTCAAAAATGTCAAGGACCTGGACGACCCCCTAGACGGGCTTGCCTCTGAGAGCTCCAGTGAAGACGAGAACGACATTCTCGCCGGCGGCTCGGCGTCTATGTCACAAGAGTTGCCCGCAAACGTCGAGGCTGATAGCACCCTGGCACCAAACAATCGACCTACGATCCCCCCATTGCCGCGCTTTTGCGGTGCTCGATTCTCCAACGATGGCCGCCTAGTCTGCTTTTTCCCGACCAAGGAAGAAAAAGCAAAGGCCTTGTTATTCGCGCCAATTGAACCCCTCCGCGAAAGGCCCAAGGGCGAGCCGGTGTTTGCGGGCTTCGGTCGCCTGGCACACGACTCACCGCCAGGGAAGAGATATGGCAACGACGAGATGTCTGCCACGGATGAGCAGTCTGATTCGGATGAATCCGACGGCTCTTCCTCGTCTAGCGATTCTGAATCGACATCTATCAACAAAATGAGTCTGTGGTATCAGCCGCGTCACCGGTTCCACAGAACCTGGAGCGACAACCGGTCAATCCGATCTAGCGGCGGAGGCACTGGAGTTGGGACTGGGACAGGTACCGGCTCACTCAGGAGGCGGCCCGGCAAGTCGAAGAACGTCATCTCGCTGCACGATATTTCGGATATCCTGCCTGCAAAGAAGGAATTTGCCCAGGAGTACGCCATCTTTGGAGAAGGCGCCCAAGTCTGCGAACACAACGCACAGGTTGCCGACAAGCACGGTTGCCAGGACTTGGTGGACGTATGGCGATATCTCGCGTTGCTTTTGCGCAGAGATATCCCGCTAGAGTTGCTGGATCAACGTCAGAGTTCTATACTAGTTATTGCACGAGACGCAGTCTCCCGCTACCGAGCAGAAGGCTCTCCGGATATTGAAGGATCCAACCTCGACAAGGATGTAGCCGATTTCAACGGCAGAGTTAAATGGGGCAACCATCCGCTCGCGAGAGATTTCATCAACGACCTGTTTGAATACTTTGAGAGGGAGGCAGACATTCAGATGCTGGCCATGCTCTCGTGCATCTTTAGCGAGTCGTTCACCGAGGACAGCGTCGCATACGCCGAGTCACATCTATCTCAACCGGAGACGCCTCTACCGATGAAGGCACCTTCGTTCTCTCTCGACTACTTCCCTACCGATGCTTCCCTCTGGAACATCAACGGCAGAAGCCAGACCAACTCTGCCATAACCACGCCGCGAACTCTACACACCCCGATCCGGTATTCCGGCTCTCAGGGATCTGCCGAGGAAGTTCTATGGGCCGGCGATCCAGGATCCAATTCGTACTCATGCGGCGAAACACCGCCGACGCATGGTGTCAAGGAGTATCTCGGACATGAAGGCGACCAGACACCCAGCCTATCTACGTCGCCCAGCGGCCGGGTCCTGTCACGCGCCAACTCAGGCCTCACGTCGAGCTTCGCAATCAACTTCCCTCGCCCATTCAGTGGTGTCGCCACAGGCACCGCAACCGCATCGTCTTCGCCCCCTAATCATGGACGAAAGCGACCCAGCCCCGCGGATACCATTCTCAGCACACTGGCTCCCAGCGCAGTCGGCAATGTCACTTGGGGAAGCTCGACCGTTATGGGCGACTCGGGCACGACGCGCACTTCTCTCTCCGATGATGAGGTCTACCGCGAAGAACTCTTTTCTTTCGTCCCCGTCGGCGTCTCGGTGCACATGGAAGACCAGACAATCTTTGATGACGATGGCTGGATGACGACTCCCCTCCTCGAACCAAGCCGCACCGAAATGTACGCCACGTACCGATACGTGTACGCCGAGATACTCCAGATGTGGAACCAACCCCTGGCCCGTCTCGAAATTATGAAGTTCAACGTCCTCCAGCAGAACCAGGAAGCGGGCGGCCTGGACGATTCCTATCACGAAACCTTTAGCATCGCCGATACGGCCACCACCATCCAACAACACCACCACATGCCGCATTCACAACACCAAACTCACCTATCACAGTCCCTCCCCGCTCAACACCATTCAACCCAACAACACCCCGCGCAACCGCAACCCCACCAACCACACAATACATCACCCATCCTCCTCGGCAAGAAAGAGCAACTCCAGGCTCTCGTCGCCTCAGGCCGTGGCCTCGACGTGACCGGCGTCTGCCGCGTTCATGAAACTCAGCTGGAACCTCTCAAATACACGTCCGCGACCGCCACCCGTCTCGGGGGCGCCATCGGCACCTGCGACCGCTGTCGCCGCACCCAGACCCAGCTCCTCTGCGTCTACTGTCGCGAGCCCGTCGACGCGCTCTACCCACCCTGCCTCGGCTGCGGTTGCGCCTTCCACGAGGCCTGTCTCGCAGAGTGGCACGCCGCGGGCGAGGTTTACTGTCCTGCTGGTGACGAATGCAACTGCGTCGAGGAAGCCTCCAACGGACAGGTGGAGAGCTGGGCGGCGATGATGGGTGCTCTGCGGAAAGCACCTTCTGCCGCCACGACTACTGCCACTGCTACTGCTACTGCTACCACTCCTGCCACTGCCCCTGTTACCTCATCCTCTGCCTCAAAAGGCATCATGGGGAAGGGGTTGATGCTGCCCCCGCCTGCGATCGAGGAGCCTGATGGGGGAGACGTGGAGAGGGGAGATTGGGAGAGCGTGGTTAGTTCAGTGGGGATCCCGAGCCGGATGCAGGGCGGCGGAGCGGTAATGAGTGCCGCGAGAATCAGCCTGGGGAACAGGTTGAAGAAGTCTGCCGGGGACTGGACCCGTGCTTCGACGAATCTGAGGAGGAGAGGAGGAGGAGGAGGCGGCAACGGGAATGGAAATATGAGTGGGAGTTGGAGGAGTGCTAGATGAAAGCGAGTGTATCAACCCTTACTTTTTTTTTTTTTTTACCATGTTGTATATCAGCCTATAGTTATATTTGTGAAATACCATGTCTTGATAACATTCTTCTTTCATGTAAACGGACTGCGAAGGATCCGGGTCGCATATCCATGTTGAATCTGGAAGGGCATCTTGCTTCTCACTCATTTGGCCATGACTTCAAAATTGATACAGTCCCACCCTTGAAAACTAGCTTCTTTCCGACTCAAAATGGCAGTGGATTCACACTATGAGCTGGCTAGGCTTTTCAAAGCAATCCCGTGATCGGCTTGAAAAAGTTGAGAAATCAATCACATCCTGCTCATCCCAACTCACACCGGACCTGATTCTCGGAGGATTCACCCTGGCGTTGGCTCCTCGTATGTGGATAATATTCATATTTTCCGGGAAGTCCTGAGAAGCCCCGCTGTTTCAGTCCACTGCAAGGCTTGAAACTTATCTTAGCCGATTCATTGTTCAGGACGTGCTGACGAGGCTGGCGGACATATTCCTAGTGTCGAAGAGTTCTATGAGAACGGGCTACCGTTGAGAGACAATAAGAGGTGGCAATGCTGCCAAGATGAATATCCGAAGGACCAGCACAGGCACGCACACCCGATAAGAGGTCCGTAAGTGATGCCCAATAATTCACGACTCGCCCTAGACCTTCGCAAAACCCGAAAATGAAACCCGCGCCGTGGAGCTACATCACGCCTAGATGCGGGTTGTCAGGTTGCTGGCACTGGTTGCTTATTGAGCCATTTGACCTGCCAGGAATTAATTTCGATCACACCTACTTACTCGCCGAGACCCCAATGGCGGAGGCGAAGACAATCGGGCATCGGCTTTTTCTCTAACGGGCTCCGGAGAAACGCAAATCGACCAATATCTCTGTCGTATATGTTGGGCCTGCGAACAAGAATTGCCGAGACACTTACCCACCTGAAGTCTTGAAGCTCAGTCGAGAACAACTCCGGTCGTGGGGCATGTCAGTTGAAACGCGCAACAGTCAACAAGTAACGCAATCTTGGCAAACGAAAACGAGCCGCGGTGAGGTATTATCTTGATGATAGTTGCAAACGTGGTTCAACCCGTGGTCGTGGGCACTCGGCTGTGGTTGCACGGGCCTATTTACGAAAAACTTCGGAGATGTTCCGCGACTCATCAGAGCGCAACTGTCATCTGATGGTACCGTCCCGGGCCGACGGGGCCAGTGCGAGGGGATGGAGAACCGCTCCGACTCCAGTGCTGGCTCGGCGAGAGCCTCCTCATTCTAAGCATGGATACCCTTTCTTCCGGTATCTGGAGCTCTGGGCCGGAAATCACGCTCTATTCGCCGACATGCATTTGTCATAATCGCAACAGCAGCTTAGCGTCGAGTCATGGGGCTTCCAGCAGCTGGGGATACCAATAGCAAAACTGAAGTCAGATTGTGCGTAGACGGTAGTACGCAAACTACCACTTAGGCCAGGATTTGGGAAATGGATAATGCCTGACACAGCAGTCAATCCGCACAACGGAACCTCATTCGGCGCAAACGCTCTGACCTTTCGGGCATAGTGGAGCGCAGTGCAGTGCAACGCTGTTGCCATTGGGTCCCTGCGAAAAGTCGGATATTGAAATGGTCTGAACAGCCGACTTGGGCAAAGGGCCCCCAGATTCGGGAAGCAAATCACGTTCGGAGATAACCGCGGAAGTTGAGGAAACAAGAGCCAGCCAAATGTTTCTCTGTAGGCCGGCAAAGGAAAATTTCGTTTCCATCAAATGTTTCAACAATGTGGCCTGCGGATCCAAGGAGCGGGGACGAACTCATCCGCCGCGTGGTGGGCCGCATGAAACGGTCCATATCAGGCCAGAGGCGATAAGGCATGACAGGTACATACGGCGTGGGATGACCCGAATTCTAAGTGTCTCTGGGCTTGCAACGTCGCAACCGTTGTGTTGGAACCGGAACAGAAAGACAAGACTAATGCGGTGCGGCGGGCTTTTTTCTGGACTCCAAATGGGCAGAAAAAAAAAAAAGAAATGCGAAAAAAGGGGCCTCGCGTCGTCGCCAAAAAGTTTTGCGCAAAGTTGAAGAGGGAGGCCTAGGGACCGCGCCCCAAGGATCAAGGGTCGTGGTCCTGGGGATCGCTGCTAGCGGCCTGCATGCGAGGAGATTCGAGATGGGGCAGCTTTCCCAAATAGGAATCCAATGTTTCTCGCTTGTTCCCCTGGCTGAAAACGCGATCAATTTGGGCAAGATGAGGTTGGCCCGAGTCCGGTGTCATTGACTCGTGCCGAGTGTCACTGGATGAAGACGTTATGCAACGAGCAGTTGGATGTTGTCAAGAGTGATGGTAGAGCGAACCTTACAAAGATAAGCAGCTTTACCGTTGGCCGACGCGCCGTCTCGTGGGACAGAAACCTGAAAACGGCTTCGGCAACGGAAGGGGGACGTTTGACATTTGTTAGAAACGCGACGCGTTAACAATGCAGCCACCTTGCCTCCCTCGTCTGCCCAGTTCCGTGGCAGACGACCTGGTTGCCTGCCGTTGCTGAAACAGGACTTGCTGCCAACACGGCTCGGCGCAAGGGTTCTTGACAGCGCCGGCTGCCCTAGGATGCTCTTGGGAATGCCATGCCGACTGGGACGGAGGCAAAGGCTTTGCTAGGAAGGCCTGCAGCTCTTTGCACGCCGGGTAACATCCGGATTACCGGGGACACAATTGATTGGGGAAGCGTGGTTGTGCGGCAATGATTTTCCAAGCTCAGGAACGGTTCTAAATGACAGTGGTGGCGGCGCGGCCATGACAACGGGGCGATGTCTCTGAGAAGGAGAACTTGAGAGACAGGCTGTCAATCGGGTCCTCGAAGATAAACAGGACTGAGAAATGCGAATATTGAGGCAAATGATGGAAGCGCTTTTGTCGACAGTTCTATGGAATGCCAATGAATGATATAGTCCGATATCGTCCGTATCGTAGGCATTAAGACACGGAAAGGCCCTAGAGCAAGATTCCACGCAAGCAGACTGTGACGTGCCTACATGTGACGGTCATCCTGATTAGATTATGAAAAGGCGAGAGGGTGTTGAGGAAATTGTGCTAGTGCAGGTTCACGGACAGTTTCCTGCAGGGCCGTGTTTCGGTGCGTAAGGGTGTCCGTTTCTCGGCATGTGAGTGGCTGAGATGTTGGGGGATATGATGCTGCCAACGCATGAATGTCTGTTGTTTTTATTTTATATTATTCACAGGGTGCCCGAACTGTTGCGATAGTTGGAATACGGAGTCGTGTGGCACTTCCAGCCACACGCCCGCCAGGCTGAGAGGCCCAAGCCTCCCAGACCCACGTGACAGGCCAAGGGGGAATATCCCTACCTTCTAGTCAACAACACTACTTTCAACTATCATGAACCATCGATTAGAACTAATTTACTGTTATTTATTATTGACGAACGGAATTCCGTTTCACCCCCTGTGAAACCTATACTGATTAGTAGTAAACCTTATAGTTGCTATTAATTTAGTTAACTTTATAATTACTACTTTGCTACGGATAAACCGTAGATTAGCAAGGTTAATACTAGAAGAGACGACTTCTTAAACTAGATACCTAAGCCTAGGTAAAAGTAGGGATTTCGTACTAACGAAAGAAGAAGCGAGAATAACTAGGATCTACGGAAACTAGTAGAAGAAAGCTTCTTTTCCTCGAATCTACTAGTAATCCGATTATTCGAGTAACCTAGGGACTGCTATGCTTACCCTAGGCAGGATAAGGTTAATCGTAGCTAATTATCGCTAGCAAGAGCGTTCTATTATGCGTTTTTAATTACTAGAAGAAGAGACTTACCGAATCGACGGTCTTCTAACCTCTTTACGCTATAAAGGCGAAGATTTACGAATCTTATAAGGGATAACAACTTCCCTAACTATAACTATCCCCTACGCGCGGTGCTAATTACAAAGCGCCTGCTAGTTTCTTAATAAATCCCTAGACGAGGTGCTAACCGCGAGGCGCTTACTATAAGAGACCTCCCTACTAGAAGAAGAATACGCCGAAAGGCGAGCGGAGACTACTAGTAGTAATCCGCCTATATAGCTATATATATATGCTTCCGAGGCTACGGCTTAGGAGAAACATATATAGTTATAGGCGTTATAAGGCTAACTGTCTGCTAGATTCTAAACTTCTTAATAGTGAGGAGCGAAGCCTGAAGCGAGAAAGAGAGATTTACGAGAGAATCTACGAATAGAGCGAAATTTACGAGAAAGATCGCCCGCGAGCAGCATTACTACTAAAAGCTAATCAATAGTCCCTATCTTATAGAGAATCGAAAGTATAATCGATTTAGCAGTATAAGGTAACTAGGTAATCGACCTTATAAACGCTAGCCTATAGTAACTAGGTTCCTATATAGGTTTCCTACTTAAGACTTATAAGAAGAGGAATCTTACAAGCCTCAAGCTATAGAACGAAGTTTCTCCCGATTTCGCCGACTAGTTAGAAGAAGACTTCTAGAATATACCTCCCCTAATCTTACGATTCTTTAGAAACTATTTAATTAGTAACGACGTCTATATCGAAATAGATAGTAAGAAAATCTCGAAAAACGTAGCATTAGCTTTTAAAAAGGAAGAATTCTACTACTAGTTACCTTAAGAACTCGAACAAGGCGTTAAGAGATATCGCAACCTAAAGGCTTTGATAAAAGACCCCGAATTCTACGAAGAGATTACGAGACCGGCAATAGTAGCTAATAGCATAGGAGGAAGAGTCGAACCAACCTTATAGCTACCTCCTCTATAAGAATAATAATAGTAGTAACTACCGTACCGACCGCTATATCCTACGGTCTCTCTGTTAACAGACTTCTAACTATATAAGTTAATAAACCGTATCGGAAAGTAATTAATAGAATTCGCGAAACTATACCCCGACGATATAAAATATAGCGGCGATATATACGATATACTTGAAAAGAAGATGCTAGTATTCGTAGATTACTATAG